CTTGTGCACTGCACTATGAGAAAATGTGGTCTTTAATAACTGTCTTTTTTTGTTGTTAGAGAAGCACTTTAAAATTCACTATTGTTTATTCCAGATAAGTATATTGGCTCTAGTCTATCATACTGAGTTTCTACTCCCTTTCAGTTGTACAAATACAAAAGGGTTGCTCTACATAAATAAAATGCACAGTGGTGGTTCCGTGGTAATTCTCTCCTTCCTGTGAGAGATCAGGTTTGATTCCCAGCCAGTGCACTTCATGCACAGACACTGTCCATCTCAGCAGGGGCATTGTATTGCTATGATGCTATACAGGGTTTAGAGATCTTCCAGACTACAATTAGGAAGAAAGGCCTGATCATCTGCTTTTGAAAATCAGCCAGTCATGGGAGGATGGTGGCACAGCCCGGCAGTATCATTCCTGTGTGCTCAGACCAATAGGACTCCCATTGCTCTCACTTCTTCTAGGGCCCAAACCGTCTTTTAGCTGCGTAGCTGTTAGGATAAGGGAAGCTCTCATCTTTTTCAGTCTCATCGAGAATATATACATTAGTTAACATTGCAAACTGAAAAATCCTTTACGCTTCTTCTAGATTCTGGCAAAATATATTTCTGATATCAGTTACACTTCCCAAACTGCTCTACAATGTTTTGTCTGGCATAATGAAGCCTTTGGCCATCACTGCTACTTTGAAAATCAAAGCCTTTTGGTCTCTAATGGAGTGTTTATAAAAATACTCCATTTTCAGATTTGCTCAGGAAAAGGAAGTATGGTAAGTGATGTTAGAAATCCCTCTGGCTTGCCTTGGCATTGATTTCATTTAATATTATGTACTCTGGAATTAGTGTGAGTAAGAAGGTATTAAAACCTAAAGATAAATAAGCTGTTCACCTTGTCTTTTTCTGTGGCAGTCTCTGTGTGATAGAGTAAATTGCCCTTTGTGAAATTTAACATAAATACCTGCTGTTGCTAAGTGCTGTCTAGTCAGTTCCGACTCATAGCGACCTGTATAGGGTTTCCAAGGAGCGGCTGCTGAGTTTGAACCACTGACCTTGTAGTCCAGTGGCTTATACTTGCAGTTGCAGTTCAGTGGCTTATCCCACAGTGTCACACCAGGACTCTGACATAAATACCTAGGAGGAAGCTAAAAAACTCCCTAGGACCTATGTCAAAAGTTTCATCTCTTTTTTAAATTCTTTTACTAAGGTAAAAATGGATGGGTTTTTTAATAGAACAGTGTAGAATGGATAAACATTTTGGGGAAAAAAAAAAAAAGCTACACTGTGTGTATGTCAATTTCTGTTGCTGTTTTTGGTATCAGAAAGTTAAGAGTCACGTGTATGAATTACACTTTGCTTAGTAATGCATTGACTCTCATAATGCTTACATTTATAACCGGCTCAAGGACCAGTAGCTTATCCTGTAGTGATAGTGGTGATAGTGCTGTCTTGGTGTAGTGAAGCATTGATGTATCTTAAAGTGTGAAATTGACACTTAATGAAAAATAACTAATAAAGAACTGCTGTGTATCCAGAATTGTGCTAGTAGGGGTCTAGGAGTAAATGTAAGGCAGTCAACAATCCCTGCTTTCCTGGAGTTTATACTCTAATAGAGACAGAAAACAAATAAATCACAAGGCTGGATTAATTGATCCGCTCCCTGGCTTTCTCTTCACATTCTGTAGCCTACCTACCAACACGGACCCCTTATTAGCATGGTAAAAAGAAATGTCTGATCACTCAAAGTGCTATAGACTTGTAAGGAATTGAAAGGTAACTTCGGGGAATTGGGGGCAATGACCTTTTAGAAAACAGCCTATCTCCATCAGTGACTTCTCATGCTTGCTTGTCCGTGTCGTGTACTCTCCCTTGCTGGCCTTTGTTGTTAGTTCTCATTGTACTTCTCTTCTCTCCCTGTTGTTGTTGTTGTTGTTAAGTGCCGTCGAGTCGGTTCCGACCCATAGCGACCCTGTACAGGGTTTCCGAGGGTGGTACAAAAAATAGGTATAGGCCTGTCACTGACCAGTTCTGAGCTATTTTTTAACTTACCTCTTTAAAAAGCAAAATTAAAAAATAAAAATAGAGGCAAATACATATTAAACTGTTGTTAGGGGTCACTGATTCATTTTGTAGTCATAACAGCCCTGTGTTTATAGCAGAATGAAACACTGCCCAAGCGTGCGCCATCCTTTCTATATTGAGCCCATTCTTGTAGCCACTGTATTAGTTCATCTCATTAAAGGTCTTTCTCGTTACTAAGCATGATGGCCTTCTCCAGGGACTAGTCCCTTTTGATAACATCATCAAAGTGTATATGATACAGCCTCACCATCCTTGTTTAAAATGACATGTACAGGAATTAATACCAGAAATAAACTGGTAGCTCAAATGGTTAGGCACATGATAGCTAATTGGAAAGTTGGAGATTTCATACTCACCCAGTGACTAGGAGAAAGACCTGGCAGTGTTTCTATAAAAATTATAATATGGGAAAACCAATGGGGCAGTTCTGCTCTGTCGTATGGAGTTGTGGAATTGATTCAGCAGCACCCAACAACAATATTTAGGGAAGCATTCCATATATGTCACTGAGCTTTATGTATGCAAGCCTCTCAATTCCCAAGGATGTCCTTTGATAACAGCCAACTTATATGATAGCATAACTTGATTTTGAATGATTTCATTCTTTATCTTAGGATGCCTTTATTATAAATATTATAAAAATTGCACGTAAGTAAATTTTAAAATGCATGCTTATGTTAATATGGTTGGCATTAAATAAACATGTTACACAGTTCTTCCATTTAAAAACGTGAATTGTTTCAAAGTAGTTTCAATCAAGAACTCACAGGCACTTTTGCTGGATGCATCTAAAAATCTTTGTCTACTTTTTGAAGTTCTGTTGCAGAAACTATAGCTGTATCAAATACTACATTTATAAGCAAAAATGTTTTTCGTTTTACAGAGAAGAAAAATTTTCATCACTCATTTAACCAGATAGACACTCATAGTAATAAACGATCTTTAAAGCCGGGAGGCTTATTATTGTCATAGCTTTTGATTTTCTTATTACTGTGGACTTTGCTTTGTTTTTTAGAAGTTGAAGGGAGTGTGCTCTCTCTCTGGGAGATCAGTTAATTGCAGTGAGTAGATCAATATGCAGCAATCATGTCTTTTAAGGCCCTTTCTAACCCTGTGATTTTATGGTTCTATATTTACCTTGGGCCCTGCTTTTTCCCCTCAGTGACAAGAAAGTGGGGACAATGTTGAGGTGAGTTGGGAAGTGAGGTTGTGCTGGGTTTGGAGGTGATGGACATTAAGTGGACTCAGAACATATGATGGATGACTCTAAGAGGTGCAATTACTGTGACGGCTCCTGCTGCTGCTTTAGGGTTGTTTTTTAATACTTAATACATGTTTTTAATTATGATTGTTTTTCTAATTAGAGAGAAGGAACGAAAAAGATAAAAAGCCATAGCATAAAACACATTTTAGAAGTCACCTTCACCAGGTGTTTTCTTGCAAGCTGACAACCCCTAAATTCTTTAAGATGGATCAATATTCCAGTCATCATAAAGGTGACTAAAAACCTGATTTTTTAAAAAAAAATAACTTTGAGGAAGAGATTACATTTTTTCATGGAGTTAGAATATAAGGCAGGCTCATAAAAAGCAGTTTTCGAAAAGATGGGATATTCATTTGTTGTTAGATGAGTTTCAGGTAGCTATTTCATATCCCTAGAGCTGGGGTAGTTTTACTCATCTTTGTGCCCCCAGCCACAAGTGCACCTCCTTTACCCACACTTGTGGTGGTTATTCAGTGCCGTTGAGTCAGTTCCAACTCATAGCGATCCTGCATTAGGTTTCTGAGAAACAGCTGGTGGGTTTGAACTGCCAATCAATATGGTTTGCAGACCAGTGCTGATCCTATAGTACGACATCAGAAGACTTAACCCATACTGTGTGCTCAAAAATTGTTCTCTAAACAACCTAGTCCCTATTCTTGAGGGAATCATGAAAATAAGATGATACTGACTGACTGACTGACTGGCTGGCTGGTTGAAAGGGCCGACTTTTTGGTGTTCTCTTTTAGCACTCTCTAAAACATTCCCTTTTAGGAAATGTGAAAATGTTTTTATGCACAGCGTATTGGCACCACAAGCCCTGACTTTGTATTTCAAAGTTGGAAGAAATGAGATTGATGTCGCATACGGTTGTAAAGTGCCAAAAATAAGTAGAGTTGAGATGAATTAAAGCCTAGTGCTCAGAAAAACTAAATAAAAGCTTCAGATCAAGGGTGGCTATAACTGAAAGGGAGGGGGCCAAATCAGTATTTAAAACCACCCCTCCTGGGACTACTAAAATTTCTGAATTTCAAATTGGCATTTTATGTTTGACAAGGTGACATTGTATAAGAAATGTATTGTAAAACACTGCTGTATGATAGGAAAATGATTGAATGTAAATATTTCAAGATGTAGACCACTGTTCAAATGTTATCATAAATCTTTGTCATTGTTTTAGGGGATAACTCTTCATGCATGTATGAGCTGACTTACTAGTACTAGTTCTTGGAAGAGAAATCATCAGCAAGTTTCTGCCTCTGCCACAACAAGTCTGATTTGACATAAAATTATCCTGCTAGATCTTTTGCCATTATTACCATATGCTTGTTGTTGTTGGTAAGTGCCATCAAGTTGGTTCCAACTCATAGTGATCCTGTGTAGGGTTTCCGAGGAGTGACTGGTGGGTTTGAACCACTGACCTTGTGATTAGCATCAGTGCCACACCGGGACTAGGAAATCCTTTTTAGAAGATTCTATACCTGGCATTTCTTTTCCTCTGTTCAATAAATTATCTGAAATGTTTTCTGTTTTCTGTGTGAAATTAGAATGGAATAGGATAATTTGCTCTTAATCTTTGAAAAGGAAAGAAAAAACTTAAGCTAAAAGATTTATTGATCTTCTGTCTTTGTGTGTGTGGTTTTTTTTTTTTTTTTTACAGGTTTGGAAGGTTTACAGTTGCTGCCCTTCAGTCCAAAGTAGAACAGTATGAACGTGAGACCAATCGCCTCAAGAAAGCCCTGGAACGAAGTGATAAATATATAGAGGAACTAGAATCTCAAGTTGCACAGCTAAAGAGTTCAAGTGATGAGAAGGTGTCTGTGAATTCAATTTGTCAGAGAGCACTCTCTGCAGATGGCAAGGGGAGTAAAGGCAGCGAGGAGGACGTGGCATCAAAGAGCCAAGGTGATGGTGCCAGAAAGCAGCCTAGCTCATCCACCTCGAGTTCTTCACAACTAGCAAAGCCTTCCAGCAGCAGACTTTCTGATACCAGCTCTGCCTTGCAGGAAAGCACAAGTAAAACAGAACCAAATTGTTCTAACAAAGAGCTTTATCCAAAACAGGTAGAAATAATGTTAGATGTGACAGATGCAAGTATGGATACTTATTTAGAAAGAGAGTGGGGAAATAAAACAAGTGACTGTGTGCCCTACAAAGATGAAGAACTGTATGCTCTTCCAGCTCCTTGTACTCCTTTGTCGCTTAGTTGCCTTCAGCTCAATACTCCAGAAAATAGAGAGAGTTCTGTGGTCAAAGCAGGAGGTTCCAAAAAGCACTCAAATCATCTCAGAAAATTGGTGTTTGATGATTTTTGTGATTCTAGTGTCAGTAATAAAGATTCTTCAGAGGATGCTACAAGTAGAAGTGAGAATGAAAAGAAATCAGACTGTTTTACTTCCCCAAAGACAGGGTTTTGGAACTGTTGCCCCACAAGCTATACTCAAAGCTTGGGTTTTGAAAGCTCAGAGGGGAACACCATAGCAAATTCTGTTGGGGAAATAACTTCAAAATCAAATGAGAAATCAGGTTCATGTTTATCCAAAAGGTTAAATTCTATTCGCTCTTTTGAAATGAACCGGACAAGAACATCCAGTGAAGCGTCAATGGACGCAGCTTACCTGGACAAAATCTCTGAGTTGGATTCGATGATGTCAGAGTCAGATAATAGCAAGAGCCCCTGTAATAATGGTTTTAAGTCAGTGGATTTGGATGCATTATCGAAGTCATCACAGAGCAGTGAATTTCTTGATGAACCAGATAAGTTGGAAGAAAGAACTAAGCCAAACCTTTCCAAAGGTTCTCTAACTACTGATCAGTTAGAAAATGGAAATGAATGGAAATCCACTTCTTTTTTCCTTCTCCCTCCATCAGACCAAGAAATGAATGAAGATTTTTCACTCCATCCCAGTTCCAATCCAGGAACTAATGAAATCAAACCCCCAAGCTGTTTGTTTCAGACAGAGTTTTCCCAGGGTGTTTCGTTAAGCACTTCACACCGGCTATTTGAAGATCAAAGGTTTGGGTCATCTTTGTTTAAAATGTCCTCAGAGATGCATGGTCTTCACAACCACCTTCAGTCTCCTTGGTCTACTTCCTTTGTGCCTGAAAAGAGGAATAAAAATGTGAATCATTCCACGAAAAGAAAGATCCAGAGCAGCCTTTCTAATGCCAGCCCCTCAAAAGCAACTAAAAGTTGACTAATAAGAAAGATGTCATTTGTGGTTTTGTCCTGCAAAGAATATAAAAGTTACTTTACTTGTTTTCATGAAAAAGTTCCATACAATTTTGAATTGTAATCTTTAAAGAAGTCAAGTGTCAAGTTCGAATGGTGGGTTAGCCTGTGCTCAGAATACTGCTGTTCATTTTAAAAGGAGTAGGAGCTTTATATTTAAAGGGATTATGAGGTTATGTTTTTGTTTGGGGATCTTTTTGATCGTGGAAGGTAAGAAGGGGGTTTTGTTTATTGTTTTGTTTTTAAAGAATATTATATGTATCTGGCTTAGGGGTATTTTTTCTTGAATTTTGACTTTTAGACACAGTTGATCTGCCTTAGTTGTCTCACTTGGATTTCTTAAAACCTTTAGTGCTGTCTACACACTGCCCATAAAAACACTTGAGTTAAAAAAAATTTTCCTGTGGTGGAAATTTATTTTACCTGTCCCTTTTTATTTATGTTAAATGATGGCCTAACTTTTAGGCAAAGTCATGATGGAGAAATAGCTCTTTAACCTTACTTAGTTCAATATGCATTTATTTTATTTAGATTTTACGTATATGTTTGTATTTGTTAAACATTGTGTTTTGTCCAGTCTTTGTAGAAACATTCTACTTATACTAAAAAATGCATTTTCTTTTTGAAAATATTCGCTTTGTGTCAGGTAGGGTATGTTTGCTCATATTTTCATGTGTGTGGAATATCAGAAATTTGAGTGTGTTTGGAAAGATGTTCTGAAGGCTTCAGGTTCAAAGAAGTCTAAACATGGTAGTCTTCATTCCAGATGTTCAGCTCATTACCAAGTTCGTGATCCACTGACATGTCCCAGGGTAGCTTTTTTGGAGTGAAGTTCTTATGTGCATGTTACTCTTCTTTATGTAAATTCTGTATGCATGGTAGCTTTGTTGCTTGCTATGTTTTTCATACTTAAGTGAAATAAGTTTCAACTGGCTTACACAACATATTTTATGTATAACAAGCTGATTTTCTTTTTTCATGAAGCATGTGTATAGGGAGGGGGATGAGGATAGGTAAAAGCAGAGCAAAATTTTCAATTTAGCCTCTGAAAAAGTATATTATTATTCCAAATATGTTTGGTATACCTGTATATGCCTTTAAAAGTGGGTTTGTATGCCGATGACTTGTTTAATGTGCACTGAACATTCGACATTAATACTGCATGCTTTTCCATGTGAATTGAATAAAGGATGTCATAAGCACTGTAATCCTTGATATTGTTTCTAATATTGAATTGACCCACAAAGACCAGGAAAAGTTACTGTTTTTTAATTATTGATCTTATACAGGGATTGGCAAAATATGCCCCATGGGCCAGAGTTGGCCCACTTCCTATATTTATGTAAGGCTTCCAAGCCAAAATGGTTTTTACATTTTTAAATGCTTAAAAAAATCAAAAGAAGAATAATATTTCTGGACATATTCAAATTTCAGTATTTCTAAATAAAGTCTTTTTATATATAATTTTATTTTGTTGTTGTTGAGAATATACACAGCAAAACATACACCAAGTCAGCAGTTTCTTCATGTACCATTCAGTAATCTTTTAGAGTGGGGGAACTGTTGTCACCTCTTTTTCTGAGTTCTTCCACCCCCATAAATGTATCTGATTAAAGTCTTATTGGAACAGAGCTAACTCATGTGTTCACTCATTATTTATGGCTGCTTTTCCACTACAATAGCAGAGTTGAATAGTTGTAACAGAGACCAAGTAGCCCACAAAGACTAAAATACTTACTTTCTGATCACTACAGACAAATATGCCAACCTCTATTATAATATACTGAAGATTTGACAAAATCATAAAGGTAACAAATCTTAGGGAATCATTTTCTTGCTTTCAGAAGCAATAATAGCCAGAAAACATTGGTAGCATGATTTTTGGTTTTTGTACATGTGGAATATCTTATTCAATAATTATTTGCATTAAGCTGACTCCTGGATATTTTTAAACTATAGATACTTCTAGAGATATTATCACGTAGATATCTTTGACAATAGGGTTATAAATTAAAATCTCAATTAAATGATTGTAGAAATCAAAAGTTTTCTTAAGAGTCACAGAATACATTTGAGATGGGGTAAGCTTTTCTCTTAATTCTGCCTATAACTCTTCCTTACCAAGATTGTTTCCAACTTTAACTCAAATATGCATTGATAGTATGCCATGGAAAACATTGTGTTGGTTTACTAATTAATGCCTAATCCCAGCTGCCTATCTCTAGAAACTCAACTTCACCCTCTGGGACCAGAGAATATTTCATATTTTGATTTAGTCAAACCATGTTAGAATAATATGTGCAGAATCTGATTTTAACCATACATTCTCTCTTGTACTCTTTAACAGTCTGATATGTTATGATATAAATGATGGTCTCCCAGACTTGAAAATACACTTAAAATGTACACACACTCAGCATATAACCTAAAACAACAAAGCTGCCTTTCATTGAGAACATGTACTTTGCTAATAACCTCTTGTCTCATTCAATTCTTCCCAAACCTTGTGAGCTAATAAGTACTATTATCCCCAGTTTTGAGATAGCACAAATAGAAGATTCATAATCATACTGCTGGAGTGAGGATAAAGGCAGATCTTGAATCTTGAGTTTGGCTCCAGAGCTTGTGCTTTTCCTCTCCCATACATGAGAGTCCTTTTGTAGACCAATGGATGAATGGATTTGAAATTTGTCAATGATTATTTTTGAAGTAGTAGTTTGGAAGTATTAACATGTTTCTTTTCAAGTAACATTTAACCCCTGCGTGTTTTCCTAGATCTAACTATACTAAAATAGAAGCCTGATGATAGGAGTTAAATGATTTATGAAGATTCACTTAACTGATAAGCCTAGCTCTTCTCTATTGGTTTCTATTTCACCAAAAAAACAAAACAAAAAAAACCCCACTGCCATTGAGTAGATTTAGATTCTGGACTCATAACAAACCCTATGTTGGGTTTGAAGACTGTAAATCTTTATGAGAGCAGAAAGCCTCTTTTCTCTTGCAAAGTGGTGGATTTTTTTTTTTTTCCAGATGTACTGGTGATAAAAGACACTTATCAATTCATATCTTTATAATAACAAGGAACCCTGGTAGCACTGAAGTTAAAGCATATGGTGGAAGAGCCACAGTTTGAACCCATTCCCAATAAAGATTTTAGTTATGGAAATTATATATGCCTTACAGGGTTGCTGTGAGTCAGAATCTACTCAAAGGCAAAGGGTTTAATTTGGGGAGTCCTAGTGTGGTGCTGTGGGTTAATGCACCAGACTGCAAAGCCGTTTGAACTGCAAGGTCAGTGGTTCAAGCTCTCCAGCAGCTCCTTGGAAACCCTATACAGGGTCGCTATGGGTCGGAACTGACTCGACAGCGCTTAACAACAACAACAATCAGCTCATCATTCTAAAATGCTGTGACAATATGCTAAGATTTTTTAGGATGTCTAGTGGTCGTCCTTACCATCCAAATTCAAAATAGCATCTCAGCCAAAAAGTGTGTTTGTTTCCTGTTTTAATAAGTCAGCTGTGAAAAAAAAAAATTGGAAATAGTAGGCATTAAAATTTACAGCCCCTTAATCTCGAATCTACTTGTTTTCCTGTCATCTTTGGTTGCCTACATTGATTTGAAACAACTACAGGTGCTATTGAACAAGGAAGAAAGTTTGGTCTTGGACCATAAGATGTTTCAGGAACTGTTGCTGTTCCTGGGTACTTGATTGCTTTTCAGTTATTCAAACTACAATACATAACACTGGATTTTTTTTCTCACCTGTGCACCTGAGGACAATACTTGTAAAAAGCATCAAATTGAGATTAATATTTAGCATTACTGAGTGACCTATTAGAGGGTTTTCCCAAAGTCTCATAAAACGGTCATTCATTCCTATTTGTGGAAGTCCTACAACACAGCCTTTGCCTAGCACATGTAACTGGATCCCAGTAATAATACTTGGCAGAGAGAAAACCTTTTAAGCAATGATCTCAGAGTGCATAGTGAACATTTACTGCTTAATTCTCGGAACCCCACTCTGAGTGAGGAGGTAGCTATTAAGATGCAGATTTCAAGAGTCCATCTGAAACGCTGGTTCTGGTTTTATATAACAGCCTTGAACACCTTGGGTTGCCGCTGCACCTTTTTAAACGGTAGATTTGTTGGATTAAGTAAATGTGGAAGTGTACGACTTGTGACATAACTTGCGGATGGGATGTATAAACCCAGCCCCAGGGACGAAAATTTGACTTCGGCATTTATTGAAACTGTGAGGGGAAGGGATTGGATTCGGTTCGTTTCTATAGCTTTCATAACTCGTGTCTGTGTTGCGTGACGTGTGGAGTAGTAAGCGGAACTAGGCGAGTTTCACGGAGGTGATGTTTGTCTAGGGTCTTGATGGATGAATAAGAGCATCGCGGAATAGCTAGTCTCTTTATCACCTATCCCTGTAGGAGGCGCGTTTTAGCGACAGACTCAGGATAATCACTGAAGGAACCTTCCTCTAAGGTTAGGCCTCCAGAAGGAGATTTCCCGGATTGTTCCAGCCTGAGTTTGCAAGTTTGACATTGCTCTGGCTTCCTTCTCAAAGAGTCCCCCGAGGCTCCAAAGCTCGTCTTCACTGGCTGGGCCGGCGGCCTGATGGCGAGACAGTGGTTCCCTGGGCGCTGGGAGGCTCAGGAGGTGGCCGAGCTGACCCATCATCTGTCCATTAAGCCGATGCCTGGTCCTCTGAGGAGCAGAAGGGGCGGCCTCGCCTCGCTAGTGGGGTCATATTCTTGCTGAGGGTGGAGAGATGGAGTTTGGTCTGGCTGCTTCCGCTTTGAGTCACCCTCGGTCACTTGGATCTCAGCAAACCGGCCCGGCTCCACCACGTGCACGCAAGCGCGCGCGCGCGCGCGCACACACACACACACACACACACATTATCTCCCGGGACAACAGACCCTCAGGCCGGTGTTTCCCGTGTTCTTGTGGGGCGCTCTCACCTTGTACCGTCCAGGCCCCACCCGAAGAAGCAACCGGTTCTGCGATTTCATTTTATCTCCACTCGCAAAACCTGGCTATAAAGACGCGAAACCAACAAAGAGTTTTCTTTCCACCTTAACCTTGCACACAATCCTTTAACAAATTAATTAATCCTAATGAATTAA